GTCACTACCTTCAAAGGATTTAATTAAAAATCATAAAGCAGGGTACATCCATTATGATCTTCATAGCAGCAATATTTACAGCTTAAGAAGAATCATGGCTTGGTTCGTTAAAATCCTATATCGAATAAAGAATATGTTTTAAAGTGGAATTTATGCATTATATTGAGTCTGAGATTTTATTAGATCAGAACTATAAACCAGCAACTGATACATATAGTTTTGGCATTATTATAGCAGAAATGACTACTGAAATCAGTTCATTTTATAGACGTTTATTTGATATTAAATTTGCATTAGAAATTTGCAATGAAAAGAGACCCGAACTTTGCTTTAGAAACATCTAGCAGCTATATTGAATTGGCAAGATCATGCATATATTCAGATTCATGAAAGCAACAAATGGTGAAATAATTATATATTGATTTTTAAAATTTGTTGAAGGTAGTGACAATGATTATTAATATAATTTTTATTTATTTTAGTTTTAGTTTTCTAACTCTATCTCATTTTCAAGTTTCTGATTGTTATGCAAATCTCTAATACTTTACAAGATCTCTAACAATTGGTTATGAGTTTTTTTGTTGCAAGCGGTGATACTTCGGACGATCTGAAGTATTAATGGAATTTAACAATAAATTAATAATTGCCAAAAGCTTTGCTTTCGTCATATTTCCTTCATTATTTACTACTGCTTCTTCTTGAGCAGTAATAGATATTGGCTGAGATAGGAGACTTGGCTTGTTGTCCTTAAAGATATCATCAATAAGTCTTATTTGCCTTTCACATGCCAAATTACTGAAATTTTTTAGCTACTCACTAAGTTGATACTCATCTTCAAGACTTCGGAATGTGTGACTATTATCTTGAAGATTTAAAAACTTGGTTTTTTGCAATTAGACACAAAATCGTTGCGACTCTAAAGTATAATCTGGACGTGTTCGACCTCCTGATAATTTATTATTAGTATATCCAATTATATTAAATAAAATATGACGCAGTTAATTATTATTCAAAATATATATAAGTATATTTATTTGTATTTTTTTTTAATACAAGTAGAATATACTGGTATTATATTACCTTTATAAATTTTATACAATTACATGCTGCTATCTTCTAATGTTTTTGTGAAGGTATAGGTGGAATTAGGGCCTTCAAAGACTTATTGACTTCTTCAAGAATAGTATCAAGGCCTTGATGTTAATTGCGATAATCTGATCGTGAAATCATTAAATATAATTCAATGTGTCATCTATCTTTAGGATCCAATCGCATTAATTGCTCTTCGTAAGTTATCTCAATTAAACGATATATAGGGTGTCTACGGCCAGACCATATCGGGGTGAATATACATCAAGCAGATTTCATCAACAATGGTCGGTTGTTTCTAACTTCAGTATGAAAATTAATAATTGCCTGAAGGTATGTAAATGTCTAAAATAATTTATTAAATATATTGATTAAAAAATTTTAGTTTTATTTAATTACTTATTAAAAACTTTACTTGTTCAAATTTTAGGTTATATACAGAATTATTTTGCTTTTTGCCCAATCTAGATAGCCATCAACTGAAGGATTTTCACTCATAGCTATGTATGGCTATAATAATTCACATGTTATAGCATGCTGATAAATATTGTAAATGGAGTCCCACGATTTGTGATGGTTCGCACATTTCTTAAAAAATTTAAGTTAGTTTTCAGTTTTGTATTCTTGAAGGTCGCAAATTGTTTGATATCAATTGTCTTTAAACCAAATATATAAACCAAGATATCAGAATAATATAAATTTTTAATGAAAGATATGATTTATATTTCATAAAAAAAAAAAAAATACCAATTTAATTCTACGAATGCCTTAAGCATATTCATTTCTTCATACAATGCCCCGAGAATTAGTATCAGCCACAGAAAATCTTTCTTAATTTTTTAAGCTAGATTATATGAAACACTGTCACAAGTAACTGATAACCACGTTCGCATTCCTTGGTCTATTTCTGCAATATCATGTATATATTCCAATATTTTTTTGATATTATTTATTAAATTAGGATTAACTTCTAATAGATCTGATACATGTATTTCTGAAATGATTACACCATGTTCAGGCTCTGATCGTTGCATAACGCTAATATGCTCGACAAAAGGACTTTTTTTTTGTAAGTATATGTTTGAGATTTTATTATAAGAGATCTTGATTGGGGAGTTGTATTATTAATTTCGTCAACAGATTCTATTTGTAAAGTAATTAACGAATCTAATTTCTTGTTGCACTTAGAGTAATTACATTTTCTATTGTCAATGTTAGTCATGCTGCATTTCTTACACCATTTAGATTGACTTCCAATGCTTTTTTGATTTTTAATAGCCAGATCAATGGAATTTACCTCTTTATTTTTTTCATCAATAAGGTTTTCTAAAATTAATGATAAGTATATATTTAATTCTTGTTCGTGTTCTGCTTTCATTTCTGGGGTAACATAATATAATTTTTCATATTGTTGATCTGTTAGTGAATCATAAAGCCAAAGAGCGATTGTAAACTGTGTAGAATTATTTTTATCCATATTTAATACAACAAAACTCATAACTATATGATATATAACCATATTGTATCTACAATCAAGATAATTAAATTGACCTTGTTGCTTATTATCAAAGGCCAAAAATAATAGCCCTTTAGGTAAAGGTTCATTTTCAATTGCTAATGATTCTAGCTACTTAATAAATTTCTTATAACACCCAGAACTAATTATATGATTATCGATATCAATGATTGTTTTAGATCGTGCTAACAAATATATAATTCCTGATATTGTTAAATTTATTTCTGATATATAATTTTTATGCTTTGACCTATACATTGCATCGATGGCAACTATTCTTTTAAAAGTCTTTTCATTTGAAGTATAGCTAGTGCAGTTATTATTATTATTACAGGTAAAGGTATTAATAAAATTAACAATAATGGGGTTACAATTAGCGAACCAATTTTCAGATGTAAAATTTAATAAGTTATTAAGAGAAAATCATTGTTTATTATTAAAAATTAACAACACGATATCATTATACATATTTTGGTATTCAAAATTTGCAATTTGAATTATCGAATTGATTCTTTTTTTTGATTGTTATACCAATTTTCCTATTTATGCTTTAACGAATTATTTTGTTTCAATAGTTCTTTATTTATTTTATTTATTTTCTGAGTTTGATCCTAACTCTCTATTACATAGTCATACGCATATTTTAATTGTTTTTGAAGATTTTCTATTTTACTTATTTTTATATTCAATTGCGCTTGTAATAAATAAATATAACTTTCAAGAGTATGCGACATATTATCAAATATTTGTATACCAATATCACGGGTCTCCTTACTATTAATATTATCAGTTTGAATACCAATTTTACAAGTATTTTTTTCAACTTCTACTTCATTAGCATGCTTCATATGAGCTTGCTTTTCAACCAATTCTTCTTCAAAGTCAAGATTATATACTTGTTTTTTTTGTTTATTTTTATTTTTAGACGATGGTAAATAATTTGTATTTGAAAGAACTTTCTGTAAGAAATCAGATACAATAAGTTGGTTATAATGTTTCTTACATAAAGAAAAATCTTCTAAATGTGTTTGAATTTGAACTAATTCAGGAAAAAAACTATTATATAATAGAAGACGACTTTTTGGTAAATTACCATCTGCATATCATATTGTTTATAACTCCTTAGTCTCGCATTCTAGCAATCCAGAACCATCATACGACAAAACCACAAAAGCCAAAGTGCAAGGTAATTCATATACTGGCCTTCTTTTACATTGTTGATTAGATTCTATTAATAAAAAAAAAGTTTAAAAATTGAATTATAATGAAAAAGCTAAGCAAATTTATTACATACTTATTGATTTTGAGAGTTTTTTATAGAGATAAAAAAAAGGAACGATTTTCTAACACTTTTAATCGAACAAAAGTAATAATAGGACTATTAGATGTGTACAATATCAGAATGATTATTGTTACGATAAAAAAAAGTGTGAGACTAGTTGTAATGATGAAAAATTAGATAGTTTTTAAATAACTAGGTGAAGGTAATTGTACTTCTAATAATTTAAAAAAAAAACTTCAAAAAATGTCCTCGTAGCTAATATTAAATTTTTTAAAATTTAGCATGTGAAAATGTATAAAAATCAGATAAAAATTATTCTAGAATGTGGTATAATAATACTTACAATTTGATATATATAGAAATATCCCTGATTATATTATCCCAAAATATCTCAATTTTGAATCTTGAATCTAAAAGAAATAAACAAAGTGTCAAAAAAAGATTTTTTTTAAAAAAATGTCAACAAAAAAAAAGTATAATTGATAATACTTTCTCTTCTAAAATTACTCGAATTAAATACAAAGTTAATATGGCGTTTTTACAAAATACATTTGCCAACGTATTTTCAAGATTACTGTTTGAAAATTATATTTTTCTTCTAATCTGAGTTTATTCTGACCAGAATCCAAAGAAGTCAGCAGAATATTATTGCAAAATGCATCTGCTGACGCTTTTTCTTCTTCTGATCCAAGATTCTAATCCAAAATTCTAATCTAAAATTCTTTTCCTCTCTCTAATCTAAGATTATTCGCATTAGAATACAAAGAAATTAGTGTGGTGTTTTTACAAATACATTTGCTATTGTATTCTCTTTTCCAGGTACATAATTAATACTTAAGAAACCTAGTAGGTGTTTCTGCCAAATGCTGTTTTCCTTCTTTTAATCAGGATTTACTCTAAATAATATTCAATGAAGTCAGTATAATGTTTTTACAAATGTATCTACTAATGTTTTTACTTCTTATGATCAAAGATTCTGATTCAAAAATTTTTTTACCTTCTGATCTGAGATTATCTAATTCAAAGAAGATATCAGCATGGTGTTTTTTCGACATTCTTTCGTTATTCTTTCATTATTTTTTTGTTGTTCTTTTGTAAATTAGATAATTTTGTATGTGAT